CTCTGTGAAACACACTGCTCCTTCTGCCTGTACATTGTTTTCTGCTTACACCTTGGAGCAGCCTGCAATAGCTGACATTTTTATGGGGCTTTGGTATTTGAAAGGCTTTTCATGGGTGTTTCTTGTTTGAGCATCTCACCTCTAGGAACGTCGTGAAGTAGCCTACCAGGGGAAATGGTAATAATATACCTGGCTCAAATGACAAGCCTGGCAGCAAAATTAACTAGAGAGCTTTAAGTCTAATTTTTTTAACAATGAACTAGGCCTTATAAAAATACATAGGGGTGGGGTCTGGGGATGTAGTCAATTGGTAGGAAGCTTTACGTCTGAGCCCCAGCACTGTGTAACTGGGTAATAGCAGCCGCACTCGGGGAGAGGCAGGAAGATCCCTCTGCTAGTGTCTCCCTGTCCTCTCCCACCCTCCCTCTTCTCTTAGCCTTATTGCCAGACCCAGAGTACGTTCTGTTCATCACAAAGTCAAGTTAACGTAAGATTCAGGAAGCCAAAATGCGGCTGGTAGCAGGTTGGCCACAGCTAGGAATAAAGACAGGGAATTACAGGCAGAGTATTTAGGAAGACTTTAATTGCCGCCTTGAGGTAGTATTTCTTTTCATCAGAACTCATGTCAACAGCTAACACCCCCACTCCTTACACCCCCACTCCTTACACCCCCACTCCCACACTTCCACCCCCACCTCCCACCTCTGCAGTGGAAAGGAACAGGTTCCAGGAAAGATGAGAAGTGACTGACCCTCTCTAAGCTGAAGGTAGCCAGGTTAGAAGTGACTGACCCTCTCTAAACTGAAGGTAGCCAGGTCAGAAGTGACTGACCCTCTCTAAGCTGAAGGTAGCCAGGTTTGCCTTCCTTCGAGGCCCATGACTGGTTTCAGCTAGTATGTGAAAATAACAAAACAGAACAAAGGAGCAATACCAATTGGTGTAAAACTGCAACCCACGCATGGGCCTGAAGGAAAGCCTCCCCCTCCCTGCTTAACTACCTCCCAAGAACAAGGACCCATAATTTCCCTCCCTGCCAAGCCAGTCCCCACCCCCCGACACTTCATTTCCTCACTTCCTCACCTGCAGGGGGATAGAGGACAGCTGGTCCTGCTCCCACAGTGCTCTCCAGGACACCTGCACTGTCTTCTTTAGGCTCCACAACCTAGATTCCTGCTACCTTTCTTTCCTTGTTAGTCACCTCTCTCCCTGTGTCTTTCTGGAAACCGACAGAGGACTCCACTCTGTCCTGGAGAGAGGCTCAGTCTTGAAGGAGACCCTGGTGTGGCTCCCAGCACCACGTTGCCAGGCTGCTCACTACTGCCGGTAACTCCAGCTTCAGGGTAGCCAGCCTCATCTTCTGGCCTCTGCACACCCGAACACACATGGACATGCATACACCCTTATGCAGACACACACATACATGTGTTTAAAAACATCCAATTGTGAAGATCTGGCCAATACTGTGCTGAACTACAGAAATATATCTTCCTCCTCTTTAGAAGATCACTGGCCTCACCTAGGCCCAGCCCAGGCTAGTTAATGCCTTGGATTAATCCTCGCTTTTCTCATCTTGTATCTCTCCATCCTGCCCCACCCCTGCCAGACTGTTCCAGGCTCTAAATGCCCCTTTCCCTACTCACTCTTCCTCCTCCCTGGCTCTCTCTTCCCACCCCTGTGTGCTCGAGATTTCAGAAGCACAAAGACTGAACATCTAGGCTCTGATGGCTAAATTTGTGCTGTGAGGAACAAGCCCCCCCAGAACATTTTACATCTCACTGAGCTGCTTAGCTACAGGGTCCTCCTCCTCCTCCTCCACAGGGTGTACCTGCCACCAAGGTATGCTTTAGAGATAGTGTGATTGGGGGGGGGGGCAGGAAGCCAAAGGACCACTTGGGCCCAGTGCTGGCAGTGGAAACAGAAGTGTGGGCACATTAGGCTTCTTCGTGATGAAATCTTACAGCACCTCCCCCATCTCACCAGAAAGGGCAGGGGAAGCTTTTCCCAATTTTCTGAAGGATGAAAAAAAAAAAACTTGGTTATACTGAGAAATATTAGGTTTTACATGTGAAAATAGCCAGAGGGCATGTGGGCTCATCTGTGGAACATTCTCTTCCTTTTCTTAAGATTAGTGTTAGTGTGTGAGAGTGAGTGTGTGTGTGCACATCTATACACACACACTCACATGTGCCAGAGGCTGACCTTGCACACCTTCCTTGGTTTCTCTAAACCTTCTATATTGAGAAGGGTCTCCCACTCAACCTGGAACTCACAGATTCCTCTAGCCCAGAGAGCCAGCCTGCTTCAGGACATGGGAGGGTCTTCAGCCTTTACTAACAGGTTCGCTGACAGATTCTCCCCGTACAAACTGTGCACTGAACCAAAGTTAGCATAGCATCAGGTTAGTGTGGCTCACCCACCTCTGGGCAGACTCTACTGTCTTGAATAAGGGCTCTTTTAGGCTCTCTTTGGGATTTTACTTTGGGAAGCATTTTCTCATTACCAAGGCAAGAATTTCCAAGACTCTAAAAGTTGCAAAATTTGTTTTTCTTCTTCTTCTTCTTCTTCTTCTTCTTCTTCTTCTTCTTCTTCTTCTTCTTCTTCTTCTTCTTCTTCTTCTTCTTCTTCTCTCTCTCTCTCTCTCTCTCTCTCTCTCTCTTTCTCTCTCTCTCTCTCTCTCTCTTGTTTTTTGGTTTTTTTTTTTTTTTTTTGAGACAGTTTCTCTGTAGCTTTTGGAGCCTATCCTGGAACTCACTCTGTAGGCCAGAGCGGCCTCGAACTCAAAGAGATCCACCTGCCCCTGCCCTCTGAGTGCTGACAAGATCTCTTTTTAATGGGCACTGATTAAAATAAACTAACACAGCAACAAATTACACTTGACAAACAGATACCAAGAAGCAGATATTCTGACTTCCTGGGCAGGATACAGTGCTGACATTTTCCTGAACATGAATTTTCAAACATTTGTCCTGGTCTGGAAGACATAAATGGGACAAGCCCCTAGATGAGTAAAGATGTCCTGCCTCAGCCACTAGAGACCAAGCTCACCAGACCAGGCCAGTGGAGCCCAAATGGATGGCAAGACCTGTTAGACCAGTGTGCCCTTGATCTAAATCGGGAGGTGTGTGTGTGTGCGCGCGCGCGCGCGCGCACGCACAAGAACAGTCAAGGGCTGGAAATACATGGGATTATAGCTTGGGTGGAGCATGTGCCTGTCATTTACAAGGCAGTGGGCTCAGACTTTAGCACTGAAAAAGAAAAACACAGAAGGGAGAAAAAGGTAGGGAAAGGGAAGGGGAGGAGAAAGAAAGAAAAAAGATTGGATTGTTTTCTAGAAATAATTTCCCATTTGGGAGAAAGTAAATTTTTGGCAAAGTGTTGTTACCCTCGAAGCAAGCTTCTCACTGTTGGTTACATACACTTGAAGGGCCAGTGCTGGGGAAGATACCAAATGCTCCAGGAAAGAAGAGCATTAAAACAGTCCGCCTGCTCCTTGGGAATATCCACCCTTTCCTCTCCCTCCATCCCTCCAGTACCAGGAGGAAAATTAATTACAGGAAATGCAAGGACCAAATGCTCACACAATAGCCTCAAGTGCTCCGAGGTGGATGCAGAAGTCCACGGGGCTGTGGTTCATAAAACAGATGTCAGAGGAAGCTGAAACCTGGCCGGGGGCACGAGCCCTTGGTGCATTTTGCAGAGTGGCTCTTCTGGCCGGGATTTTTGAGGGGCCCCAGGAAGGCACTGGCAGGACAGGTCTCTAGTGCCTGAGCCTGCTGAAGGGTCAGAGTCTGCTCTCGCTGCTGCTGGGTGGTGTTTCTAGGAAGCTGAAGGGAGGGTTGCTGATCTCTGGCTGATAGATGTGCATTTCAGCAGGACAGGAAAGAACTCAAACAGGCCTGCCTGCTGGGGGCTTCTCACGTTGGTGGGGGTTGGAGACATTGGTTCCTTTGCTGAGAGTTCCTATCAGTTTCCTCTTCCTAGAGTTTTGTGTTGTTTTTTTTTTTTTTTTTTTTGTTTTTTCTTTTGGGGGAGGAGTTGGTGTGAGGCTGGTTTAACTGAAGAGACTGCTGGGCCTCTTTCACAGTTAAATGCAAACCATGTGTGTGACCTGAGCTTTCCTCACTCCCCAGAGCGTTGTGCATTTGGCTGTAATGAGGTGGAGTGTCTAATGACAAGAGGGCTGCTTAATGTGTGGGAGTTGGACACATTGAATGCAACGGAGCTGCAATGTACAAAGAGTCTGTTTGCTGGTGTGTTGGGAGATAGATGCATTGAATGCAACAGAGCCTCAGCATGCAAGGAGGCTGCTTGCTGGCAGCCACTGTAAGTCTCACTTGCAGTCAGCTTAAACTCCTTGCCCCAAAGGGATTTCCCATAGCAGCCCCCTCCCTGTTCCTACTTCTCAGGCAGGTTTCATGCTGGGCACACAAAGCTTTTTGTGCCGCAGGTAGGGCAAAGTCTTAACTTCACTGGCCCAGATTTAAACAAGGCATTGAAGCAGAGGTTGGGGATAGCTCAGTGGTATTTGGCTCTCGCCTAGTGTGTGCAAAGACCTAGGTCCCACTCCTAGTACAAAAAGGGGTTCACCAATCCACAATTTCAAATTTACTTAGACCATTATGATACTGTTTTGTGATTAATTGTGTAACTCATCCGTGCGCTTCTTGGTCATGAGCTAGTTAGGTAGTTGTAGATGCCTGTACTTGATGGCTGTGTGGTTTCCTGGCATTCAGAAGGCTCACCCCTGGGTTGTAGGCCCTAGAATCCGGAGTATTGGTCCTCAGCTGCCACAGAGCCTAGCCACAACTGGCCATACAGAAAGCACTTAGTGCCTTACAAAAACAACAAATCAGAAAAAAAAAATTATAGTGCAAGGCCCTCCCGCCAATCGGAGTTAGCCGCTTCTGCCTACAGTTAAGAAAAACACCAGGTAACATATCAAAGAAGGAGGGAGCATTCCTTTCCAGAACGCATGTGTGACATGTCTTTCTTCACTGCAGGGGAAACAGCACGAAGGCAGCAAGTCCCCACCTCACCACCGGCCTCGGAGAACAGCAGCGCAGCCCACAGCATTGGCAGCACTCAGAGCAGCCCCTGCTCCAGCAGCAGCATGGCCTAGCGGGAGCCCGATGCCCGCTGCTGTCGTCGCCGCTGCCGCCGCCGCCAGGGCAGGGCCCAAAGCCGGCGCTGCGTGTCCAGACTCCGAAGGCTCCATCTGGGCTCCCTGTAAAGAGAGAGTGAATTTCAGTGTGCCGACAGCCTGTTGCACCCCCCCCCCCATCACCCCGGACATCTGTCACACATGAAAGCTAAGCTGGTGGCCTTCTCCAGACCCTCGGAGGACGAGGGTTTCAATGTGAAACACACTAGTGTTTTCTTTTTAATGCTGCTTTGTCCAGGTGTCCAAACAGCCATCATCTGGGGTCAGAAGTTTGACCCGGAGTAAGGGGGAAGGAGAAAGGAAGACAGCCGGAGAATAGAGCCAGGGAGACGTGGCCAAAGATGCCCTCCTAGCTGCACCAAGATGTAAAATAGAAGAAATGTCCCCTCCGTATCCAATCTGCACCTCTCTCTGGGTGCCCACTTCTGACCTGCCACACCCTACATGGTGCCCTGTTTAGCTCGCTAGCCTGAGGGAGCAGGCTACACCCTGCCACTTGTTAAGGCAACATTCCTTTCTTGGGCCAAAATGAATGCTGATTCCTGTTCCTCCACGCACGTGCACACACACACACACACACACACACACACACACGCCAACTCCATACATATCTTAAAGCCAAATTTGTTAATTCTTACAGGCATACAGAAACAGAAAATGCCCAAAGTATGGAACAACGGGTTGTGCCTGTTTCTGACATTTTGTCCTGATCATATTTAAACTTCAGGGGGGTGAAGGTGTCGTGTGTGTGTGTGTATGTGTGTGTGTGTGTGTGTGCATATAAGCACAAGTGTGTGGCATCTGCACATTGGAGATAGGACCACACCCTCTTTAAAAATGTTCTATGCTTCCAGAGTTGAAACGTGAGTTATAAGTCATAGATTATGTGGACTCAATACAGCGGCCTTTCTGATGAACCCTTTATCAAAGCCAGACCCTTCCAGGAGGCCCCAGGTCATCTCACGATGTCACCGGTCCTGCCCTCAGAATGCAGAGAGAGAAGGGCACTAGCTTTAAAGTAGCTCACAAAAAAAGGGTTTCAGGGGAACTTCCTTCAACAGAAAAATATGAGACCACTCTGACAGCACTCTGTAGCGCTGTGTTAAAACTGAACCCCAGAGGGGACCTCCATGCCGGATCCACCGTAAATGAAATCAGATTGCTTTCCCAGAATTCCTCCAAACAACTTAAGAGTCCATGACTAGAACAAGCTTGATTCTAGCCTGAATTTCTCAGGCGCAAACTCCACTGCCTTTCAGAGTCAGGTGGTTGTGCTTCAGGAGTGAAAACTTCAGTAGGAAATGTTGCTGGTAGAAACAGGGCAAGTGGATGGAGACGGCAGTGTCTTTGTCACTGAGTCGTAGTCTGGGTGGATGGATGGGTGGGCGGATGGGTAGGTGGGTGGGCGGATGGATGGATGAATGGATGGATGGATGGATGATGGATGGATGGATGGATGGATGGATGGGCGGATGGATGGGTGGATGGAAGGAAGGAAGGAAGGAAGGAAGGAAGGAAGGAAGGAAGGAAGGACGGCTCTTATTCAGTTGGGATAATTCAAACCAAAGCAGATTCCTTCCGGGCTGACAGCTTCAGACTGATGCATTGATGAATTGAGAGTATTTCAGATTTCCACCCATGAGTACGAATGGTGTGAGACCAGGGAAATACTTCTCTTTAGTTCATCATTTCTCGTCAAGCTGTCGTTGTGGAAAACCTAGATTGTGCTACCTGTGTCTAAAAATAATGCGCTTTGCCTAACCTTCAGCAGAATGTAATTGTTAAGTATATATTCTATGTATAAAATGTTTAAAGATGTCTTCAAAGAAGACTAGAGTCTTTAAATCACTTATAGCTATATTTTACTACAAAAAGTCTGTATAAAGATATATTTAAATGTTTTAGAGAAATTTAAGTTACTCCATATGAAATGTTTAATTTCAGTTACTGTGAATTCTCATCAGTTACTTTAAAAAAAAAGAAGAAAAAACCTTTACCGTCTTGTTAAAAAGAAAATTAGCTATGGGAAGGTATTAAAAGAGTCATTTCTTAGATGGATGGAGTTTAAAAATTTTGTAATATATTTAAATGTATATTTTTGAGAGAGATACTACATTACCAATGATTTTATAATCTTAAATTAACTTACAAATTTATAAATTGCAAACAAAAGTATTTTTAGAAGGAGAAAGAAAAAAAAACACCTTTTATTTCCTTGGATCTCACTATCAGAAGTATTACTCAGCTCAAGAACCCCCATTCCGTATTGGAGAATGAATGTGTTAAGTATTTCTGAAGTATAAAGCTAGGGTCTCTTCCCCAGCCTCTTGTTACAGTGTTTCTGACTGCTTCCTGCCAATCACAGATTTAATACAAAGTATAAGCTTTACTTTTATAACATATTCTGCAAGTTTCCTAAGACTGGCTGAACCCAGTTCCACCTGCAGTCTTGTGTTGTTTCTGGGGGCCACGCCATGGTCAGAGGCCACGCTAGACTGCCCGAGTCCTTGGTGACTGCAATGCCCAGCTCTTCATGTTGTGGTGTTCCCCAGCTGTAACACTGCGTTGTCAAAGGTTGGAGATTTTTCTTCTGCTGGAGCTGGTCATGTAGCAGTTTTTTTCCTAAACACAAAATGGTCTCTTGCTTGTCTGGTAATGTGTCGTGAGTCCATTTCCTGCATGTGTTCTCGGCAGGCATGCCTGAGTGTGTGGGGTGCACAGGCGTGCCCTTCCTTTTTTTACTGTAACTACCTCATGGTTTGAATGATGCGCATACTGCTGGTTGTGTTAACAGCACATGTCGTCGGCTGAGTCGTGTATGCAAACTTTTTCTTAACCCTGTTTGTTTTATCTGGGGGTTCATTCATAAAACTGACAGATATTTTTCTAGGAAGGACTATTATCAGTTTCCAAATACAATACTCCTTCCTCTATTCTGGTTTTTCCTGAATGAGCCTGATTTTGTTACTGTTCTAAGTCTGTGAGGGTCAAAGCGTACCCTGAAAAATCCCTGTGGCCAGTTGGAACACCCCTGCTGTAACCTTTCCTGTTTGTGAGTCAGAGACTTGTGAACCTGCTTAGAGGTATAGTTTTGATAACCACAGTTTTAATTCCTTTATCTGTGCATAATAAAAAAGATATATCAATTATTAACTTGTGTCTTATTTGGTCATTGCTAAATGTCCACTTGAGCTGACACAACTCTGACCACACCTGCTGCGCCAGATCTGATGAGGAAGATGAGGGGAATGGAGGGGAAAGACACGGGCCCAAGTGAGTGGGGGTGGGGGGACAGAGAGTGGAGGGGCTGTGCCCAGAGCTCATTCCTCGGCCTTCTGCACTCTCAGCGTCAAGGGGAACGTCATGTATTTAGGCTCCACTCTTCCCATCTCCCCTAAGTGTCAACGCTGCTTCCATCACTCACCGTCTGTCTGCCACTGGCTTCTTCCGGTTACCCAAGGCAGAAACTGGGATATAGCTGGAGCCTTGACACCACACCCCACCTTAGCAAACCTAGGCATCGTTCACCTCAAGAATATCATTTTTAAATGATAAACTCATTCCTACCCGTACTGTCCTCCACTGTCGGGAGCCATTCTCTCTCCGGCTAAGCCGGCCACAGCAGCCCCTGACCAGGAACCACCTGCCTCGCTTCCCTCCAAAGTCTTCCTTCACCACAGAGCAAAACTAAAACCACTCACTTTGTGCTGCTGCCCAGCTTGAGCCTTTTAAGTAATTCCCTGTTCGCCTCACTTTCTTCTTAGCTGCTGAAATGAACAGCTACTGTAGAAGATGGTCCCACAGGTACCCCGAGTTCTTCCAGTCCCTTCCCTGGAAGAACCAGTATCAACAACCTTAGTTCAAACTCATGTTTTCATAAATAGGAATGTCCTTCTGTCCATAAAATAGTGTTGCAATAACAGACGCCACTGGTGACATCACACGGCATGGCCCTCCCCCTAGGCTGACAGAGAGCAACTTCATGTTTCTTGATGGGTACACCCCGTTCCCTACAGCAAGGGGTTGGAGGGGTAGCTAAGTGGCAGACCCTGGCCCAGCATGCCCGAGGACCCAGTTCAATCACACTGAAGAAGAAAAGGGAAAGAAAATCTGGGTTGTCTGGCGTTGAGAGATAATTTGGTGTGAAATCGTAAACCGGAATACCATAGGATTCGCTAGCCTCGGGAAAGACAACTGAGCTCTGAGAGACCCAGCTAAGATGTTAGCATATGACAACGGGCCATAGTTTTCGTTCCGTTCTTAAATATTCCATGTCCCCAAGGAACATGTTGCAACTCGGAGCCTTGCGTAAGCATGAAGGGTTGTCTGATTTTTCCCCGGAAACAAATCCGGCTTTTCCCTCCCTGTTTTTGCAGAGATGTTGAGAAAAGGTGGTCTGGCCAGTCAGAGAAAGCAGACAGACCAACACCAGATCTACAGTCAGAGAAAGCAGACCAACGCCAGACTACCCGAAGGGTCGTGGTTCAATCCTGAGGTCATTTATAAATCAAAGGTCATTTATAATGTGTTGTTTCTTCTGGCCACCCATGAATGCTATAATTCTATACAGTGAAGAACTGTTACCAATGGTCATTTTCGAGGAAAATGTAGGCATCTTTTTCTTGTTTCTTAGCAAGCCAACCCTTCCCTCGCCATTCCCTAAGGGAACCTGTTTAAAGGCAAGCGAGCTGCTTCATTAGTGTTTGCAGGTGTCATCAACAGTCTGAGGTTTGAGTCTGGGCATTTCTCTGCCTTGGTCTCTAAATTTCCATCTCGCTTTTTTTTTTTTTTTTCAGAGGAACTGCATACTGGACTTCATGGAGATTTGATTTTCACACTAGAGTAAAGGTCATATGATCTCACCCCTCTTCCTCAGAAGGCCACAGCTTGAATTGCGTTTTTAATGATTTTTCTCCACTTAACTCCGAGAATTCGTTAAAAAGAAAACCAAATTCAAAAGTAGAATCCCAGGACTGAATATTTTATTTTTCTTTCTGCTTTGTCCAAATGCCCAAAATGAAGCAACTTACGGGTCTCCTTTGGCCTAAATTCGAGGGGACACAGTCTACCATGGAGCAGGAGGCATCGCAGCAGGAGGCCCTGTGGGCGCAGGAGGGGCCGCAGGGTGGGGCCCTCACCCCCTCACATCTTGGCAGAGCAGGAAACCGAGAGCACACAGGAAGTGTGATGGGACTGTAAAAGCCAAGGCCCAGCTCCCAGTGACCAACTTCCTCTGGAGCAGTTCCATCTTCCAAACAGCGTCAGTAGCCGGGGACCAAATGTCCAGACACACAAGCTACACCACCCACCACCTTGGCTTCAGAAGTGAGGTTGGGAAGGAGTGTGTACTCCTGGATAATGTGGTCCTGGTGTATGAGGCCCAGCCTCCTTCAGGTGCCCTGACCAAAGAGACACAGATAGATCTAGAATCATGCAGAATGTGATTTTTTGGAAGACCTACATGCAGAAGTATGGTCCTATGTGATGTAGTCTGTCACACGCCCAGAAATGTAACTAATACACAGTCCTTTTCAGGTATGGGAACCACCCCCTCTTGTACTTGTGACATCATCGCCTGTTAGCATGACGTCATCCGCATAACACAGCCAGGTAACAGCAGTGGGAAATATCCATTTTCTTCACTCCTAAGTGAAGAAACCCTGCCTGTCAATCTAGTTTCAAAAGAATTCTGACAACGGCATCCTGAAGAACACGGCAAAGCCAAGGACGTGATATTTTCCAGCACTTGGGCCATGGTAGGCACCACAGCATAGGTTCCATACTCCTCGTTCTTCACACAACAGAGTGTATACACGAGTACAACCTGATATAACTACAGCCATCTCAAGTGGTAGCCATCACCTCTACATAACCCTAAATGTCTTCCCCTTTCTCTTCAGAATCACAGTTCTGTCTCAAATCTGGAAACAATTATTTCACTTTTACTCCCCTCCCCCAATATAAGAATCGTTTACAACGGGGAGACTGGTGTGTTCCTAGTTTACTCTACAATGGAAAGAAACGGGAGTTGCCTCTTTGGGTGTATAAAATCTCTTTGTCCTAAGCTGAATGGTTCCATGTACCATATATTTTCCCTTAGGATGAATGGGATAATTGGTGACATTCAGAAAAACTTTAAAACACAACTAAACTACTATAGTAATTAAATTGATCCCTGGCGTAATTCATTAAACCACAGTGTGTCGGGAGTTAGTGATAATCTCCATGGGACAGACCCATGACTATGGCATCTAAGTGTCTGATGTGCAGACTTGCTTCCTTCCCTGTTTGGGGAGATGCTGGAAGCCACACTCTATTTTAAACTGATTTAGTGAACTTGCAATCGAAAGAAAGGATTCCTGTGGTGACTCAAAGCAAATACTCCTTCTGTGAAATGAATAAACACTTCCTAATCTCTCTGTAAATATAGATTTTTATACATTTGGCTGCCTTGCCATATTCTGAGAAATTTGTTTGCTAAGGCTAAGTGTGGATGTGGATGAGTGTTTGGGAAGTGAATAAAAAAGAATGAGTTTACCCAAGCCATGTCATAAACCCTGCTGGTCTGGGCAGAAGCCAGGAGGCTTGAGAAACATATTTTAAATGAGATAAGTAACAACACACACAAAATGAGAAACCAGCACACATGTACACACGCACAAACACAAGCACAATGATAGACACACGCGAGCACACACAGGCAAACACACTGATGCACAAACAGACACACATGCGTGTGCTCACACACACAGATGAACATACACAGAAACCAGGTTATATGCTAGTTTCAGGTCATGTCTCTGCTGTGAAAATTTGCATATTCATTTATGATTGCAGCAAATCTTTGGTGCACGCTGTGTGCAGTTGCTGTTGTAGGTAAGGGGGCCACATCAGTGGACGGCAGACCTGCCTTTCCGGAACTTCCATCCTAGCATAAGACTTTCAAACAAATGCTCGTTAAAATAGAGCAAGTTAAGGATGATAGGGTCTAGCAGGTGTGTGGATGGTGTCTGTTTAAGTAGGGCTGATGAGAAGAACCTCCTTCTCATCAGACAACAAAGAGCACGTTAGCAGGGACCAGAAGAAAGCAGAGGGCTGGACAAACAACACGAAGATCTAAACTGGAACCGTGTTGAAGATGCTGAGGACTGGCAAGAACACAGGATGAAATCAAACTGGGAAGTGCAGGCAGAAGAGCTGAGCATGGAGGGATCAAACTTCATTCTGAATGAGACAGGAAACCATTGAAACGTCTTGGCCTGCAGGACACAATCTTACACTTGAGAAGGCAGTCCTGGCTGTTTGGTAGAGAAGAAACCAGTGAGAAGACCCAAGCAGTGGCTGACAGGAGATGGCAGGCGGCTCAAGGCGCAAGTACCACTGCCAACAGTCGGAAATTCTGAGGATTTGCTGGTGGATTAGGTGGGATCTGAGACAACGGGGAGAACTGTAGCAGCCTCAGCAGTGAGAATAAGGGTGTTAGGATAAGAAAAAATAAAAATTTCTACTTGAACTCTTGTGTCCTTTCCTGGGTCTCCAAATGAGATGCTGGATTGCCCAGTGAACGTCTAGACAGTGTTTTGAGATGCAGAATCTGAGGGGAAGGCACAAATTCACAATCATCAATAAGGAGATAGTATTTACTTATTAATGGAATCCAGGGCATTGTTCTCCAGCTCCTGGGGCTATCCCAAGTTTAATGTCACAGTCCTAAGGACAGGTCCGTGTTGAAGGAAGGCTGGTATCTGTAAGGGTGGCTAGAGCAGTGTTGAGTCAAACAGGCCCCCTGGGAGAAGCAGTGGGCCCTGGACTGTCCCTCAAGGTTTCGCGGCGAGACATCTCAACTGACTATTTCCCTCAAGGTCAGGCCCAGCATCAGCCTATCCTTAGCAACTAGATGATGAGGGATGTTAAGTCTTGACCTCCATCCCTCCAAACAGAACTGGTTCTGAAGGGCTGTCTAGGTGCCCGGCTCTGCTTGAAGGCGCAGCTAAAACTTGGAATGCAGGCTGGCCTGCCTCCACTCATTGCTCTTCTCGCTCCTTTGCAGACACCTGTCCCAGGAGTGATCCCCCATAAGTCTCCTGTGTGTACATCTCAAAAGTCTTACGAACCATTCAGCGGTGCGGGTAAAGAGAAATGATTGCCA